TGCTGAACCACAGCTGAGGTGCAACTCTACAGAAATGTGTTCTTTGATTAGGAGCCTATGACACTTAAGATAACCAGATTTTGGGCACGGATCCTGTAAAAATAGAGCTGGGAGTTAGTTTGCCTGCCCTTCCCTGCTTGACATTTTCATGGAATCACCTCTGCTCGGTGACTGTGGCAGGGCAGGACACAAGGGCTGGAAACTTGCAGGCTGATGGTCCAAGTTGTGTGTTAAAGCCAAAGAAAACTGAAGTAAAGTTACTGTAGGGCTAGAGTGTACCTGCTGATATGTACCTATAGAGCTGCTGCATGTGATGGTACAGGAGAGTCACAGGATGCCAAACTGTGTTATTCTCTCTTCCACCCCTCCTCCCTATTCAGAGTCACTTGCTGAAAATTGAGATGATAAATCCCTGACCAGTGCCTGATCCTGGGTCTTCTCCAGTGAAGGGCTACTGCACTTTCTTCTTTTCCACGTGTACCTCACGGTGGGGGGAGGAGCAGAGGAGCTGCACTAGGATTTTTGGTGGATATTCTTGCAGGGTAGGTCAAGTCCTCTCTTGGGCATAGCAGATGAGCAGTGTTTCTATGAGTATAAAAGCAAGGAGCAAGCTTTATGCTTTGTGATAGAAGCATACAAGTCTTTGCTTCTGAATTGTCAGTCTAGTCCCAAATTCCAGTATGTTTCTACTAAACTGAGACTATTGTTGTATTTGTTTGTGTATGCAGGATTATCCAGTTTCCAAGACCAGTCAGATTCAAAGAAGTGGTGCAGAAGGTTACGGATGCTTTCGGACAGACGATGGACTTAGTCTGTTTGAACAATGAGGTACTCTTCTCCTTATTGCTAAGGGAGTTTTAGGATGCCCGGTGCCCGCTTCAGAATTGAGCAGTGGTTTGTTCTTAAGGCCCTAATTTAGTGCTGTACACAGATGTGAAGAAAAAGAATCTTATTTTGTCATTCCCACGCAGTGAGCGTACAAGAGCTGTTGTCTGGACACAGCTCAGTTGGATTCTCAGACTCCAAGCCAGGCTTTCCCCTTCTCAAAATTATTTCAGTTAAGGTCTATTGAATGGTGATACAGTAACATTATCTTTGCCCCAGAACAAAAAAACCCCTCACTCGAACAGGGTGAGGAATTAAGTGACTGAGATGATGGAGACGTCAGTTCAGCTGCATAGCCAGCAGCAGTAGAGGTTTTCCCATTAACACCCTTGGGGCACTAGCACCAATTTTCAGAGTTTATCTGGCTGTGAGAGCACACACAGGGCAGAGGGGAGAATGGCTGAGACCAAATGGCTTTCCTGAGAGTATCTGTAGGCTGCTGTGTGTTTGGGTTGGATGTGAAGCCTTCCCACCTTGGGTGAAGTTGCAGGAGCATGGTGAAGTCTGGAGCATGAGGGACAGTGCTGCCAACATAGTGTGCTTTTATCTGGCCCTGACTCTGTTTCACCCCAAAACTCCAGAACCATGTGCATGTTCTTGTGGTTCAGTCTGCAGTGAAATGTGCATCACTGTAGGTTTCTCTAGCAGGTCCTGTGGCCACATACAAGGAGTCAAGAAACCCTTCCTCTGCCATTCTTGCATTTTAAGGCTTGAAGACCTTTCTACTCTGACCTTCCTCATAACACAGGCCACTGTTTTTCCAACTTGTTCTTTGAGCCCAGCACTGTGTCTGAAAGGAGGGTACTGATGAGGGCCTTTACCTCAAAGGGGGCAATCCTTGGCATCTGTTTTGGTGTGCTTAGTGTTTTCTTGTGAGACATCTTGCCATGAACCGGGCAGGCAGCTGGAGCCACTGGACTCTTAAGGTGGGTTTGGCTTTGGGAAGGAGGAGAGGGCCATATAACGAATAGGTGGGCTTTGAAACACCAGTTCTTTTGGATCTGTCCTGACAGCTTGCTTGTTCAAGTATTAATTGCAAATGACTAACAGCCTTTCATTAAAGTGTGAATGGAGAGAGAGGTCACGAAGAGAGATTTCTCTCTTTTTTAAATTTTTTTTCCCCTTCCTTCTGTTTCAGTGGAGATTTGCTGCACAAAAATGTTCCTATTCTGTTATAATAGGTACCTCATGATACCAAAGTGTCCACTGGGTTTTGGCTTTGAATGTGGTCAGGTTTCTAATCTTGGGCATTCTCTGACAGACCTCCTGGGAAAAGCCTGCCATTGAATTCTTCAGGAATGACTCATTTCATTCCAGGTTTCTTTCCACTCGAAGAGGAATTTTTTCCAGCAACAGCAAACAGAAGCTTAAATAATGCATTTTTATCCCATGTTAGAGACTGTCTTCCTGGGCACGTGCACAGCACAGCAGGACTGTGAGCAGGCCTTTGGGTACTCTGAACTTCTTAGAGTTGAGAAAGACCTTCAGTGTTTTGTTTTTTCTATACATAAAAACTGTTCCTTGTGAGAACCCACACTTTTGGGAAGAGATCTGAGCAGTAGTAATTCAGGGTTGTTATTGTGGAAACACTATAAACAGACAGACATGACCTTTGGGGAGATAGCCTACATGTCCACATGGTGACACCCCAGCATCTGGCTCCTAGCATGTTCTGGGTCAGGTTTTTAGTTTCATGACTGCAAGTCTGAGGTAGCCTGGCCACAGACTCATTACAGTTAAATGTTTCACCCTTTCTTCATGCTCAAAGGGAACCGTGCAGTAATTCTTTGTTGCCATCAGATGTTTCTCTTGCAATAGCACCTTGTAGACGAAAATTCTACTGAAGTCAATGGGCCCCTACAAAAGCTCACTAAATAGCAGTCCCTGTCCTGGTGAAGCAGGAGTCCTGAAGCCAAGCTCAGCAAGATGAGCATGCCAGCCGGGTGGAGCAGGGGCACGCATGAATCACATCCTGGTGGGACCTGGAATCAGCAGGCTTGGGCTGGTATAGATAAGAGCGGGGCCTGGCCGTGGGTGTACTGCATGGGGCATGGCTGCACGTTAGTACGAGGCCGGGCTGATCTTTCAGATGAGTGGGACGGCACAATCTTGCTTGGCCATGGACAGCATGGCGTGGTGTTTGTTAGACAGCTGGCTGTGTTACAGATTGAAAGACTGACTTCTGCGGCAAGTGCTCTGTCTGAATTTGATCTGTGTGAGCTGCTAAAGAGCTGCTCCAGCTGTGACTATGTGTTACCTTGTCATTTGTCCCATCTCCATCACCAGCTTGTGATGTGACCTTGGGCAGAACACTGAACCTTGCTGTGCCACCAGCTCCCTTCTGACCTCCCCTTGCTTGTCTCCTCTGAGGCTGTCTCTCAGCATCGTTTTGGAAAGTTAGGGAGAGTTAAAGCCTGGGGAAGTGGTAGAAGCTCCATTCCGGGGGTGGGGAGAGGAAGGAGAGATGTTTAAAAGCACGCTCAACAAACACTTGTCAAGAATAGTGGAAGGTGTCCCTGGCCATGGCAGGGGGCTTGGAACTAGATGATCTTTGAGGTCTCTTGCAACCCAAACCATTCTATGATTCTATGAACTGTTGATGCCAGTTGGTCCTGGACTGGGCTTGAAGATAAACTAAATGACCTCTCAGATTTTTGCCCAATCCTGTTTCCTGCTATTCTTCGGCTTTCTGCAATGTCTTACCGAGTAAGATCTAGCAATACTGCTGTAGTCGGTGAAGACTCACCCTTTGCACTCACTTTCTTAGACTGCAGAAGATTGACTACCAAGTCCCATACTAAAACACTAGGCTCCAGGAGAGTATACTATTTAAAAGCAAGAAGAAAATTTAATAAGCTCTATTTAGTGAAACTTCTGTGTAGGTAAACTTTGCTGTTCATCACAGCTGCTCACTCTGTAGACAGAATAAACCCAGTTACTGGAAATGCACCCTGGCAATTACTTCCGTGGTTCTGCATGAGTCTATATTTAGTTTCGTGCCTCGTGGATATCTGTTCCTGATATCCATATGTGCCACAGTCTGGAAGCCAAATGGAGCAAAATCCACTTGCCAGATGTGGGTAATAGGTAAAGCCAAGCTAAATACTGGCTCCAGTCCCTTTTACAGGAGGGCAATTTCTGCCTGATGTTTTTGGCTCCTCTGAAGCAGGCATGCAAAAGTGTTAATGTTGTGATATTGGAGTGAGATGGAGTGACCTGCAGAACATTCTGTTCAAAGCAGCAGCTGAGGGACTGCTCTGAACACTTGTGAAGAGCTCAGCAAAGGGATGGGTGAACAGTGGCACTACGATTACAGTTCAGAGTCAAATTCTCCTTGGTGGTGAAACGAAGGGGGAGAAGCTCTCCACCATTCTCATTTCTGTTTGCATGAGTGTAGGAGAGAAGGTGGCTTGTCTGCTTGATGCACCTGTGGAGCCCTTGTGAACTTCAAGAGGGTTAAGCAGTGCACCAAGAGAATATCTCTTAAGCTCTGCTGGTTAAGGAAACAGACTGAGAACAGCTGCACAGCATTTGGGAGATGTATTCAATACCATCTTTGTCTGATATCTGCTGTGACCACGGGTGATTCATTCAAATCCCAAAGTTTAACCATGAACCATGGGCTAACCGTTTACCCCGTGGACCTACTGAAAGCCCTGAATAGTTGATATCTACCTGGTGAGTACTTTCCTTTCATTTATGTCCAAGCCCTGTCCCAGACTGGGAATCTGTTTCCAGCCTTGCTTGTGAGGTCCAGCCCAGACAAGAGCGGTGTTAGTGTTCCCTGTAAAACCCCCAGCTGGTTAGGTCCCTTGTTTGGGAGGTAAGGGATATCCTCCTGGACTTTTCTCCATCTGATTTCGTTGAGAACTCAAGTCCCTACAGCCTGTAGGATGTCCTGAGGCAAAGCTTTCTCAAGAGTTCCTCTTGGAATCTTTTTCCTACGCACAAATAACTAAATAGTTTTCAGACAAAGGGTGTGCAGCCTGATTATCCCTCTTCTGGGTGAATGTGCTAAATGCTTTTCTCTAGAGTCTCTTTGTCTGTCTCTTTTGTAGAAATTTCTCAACCACGTTTGCATGCCTTACACCGGAAGAGCACTCCTAGCTCAACCTGAAGTTCACTGCTTAAATATCTTTTTAGAACTGGCTTTGTCTTTCCTCAGCAATTACCACTGCTTCCAGCGATTACACCTGGCAGCTTCCTTTTCTCACCTGTTCATCCCATTTCTGGATATCCAACTCTGCCAGGCAAGCTGTAGGGGTTCTGGGTATCTAATTTGGGACTGTAAACTCTACAGAATAGCAGGCTGCATTAAACTTAGCTGTTGCAGTGCTCCTTTGCAGATCTGGCCTTTAGTATCTCAGAGCTGGGTGCCTCAGGTAGGTATAAGCTCAGGACCACCTGCTATCCACAGCTGCGGGAGCTTGGCTTTCTTGGTGGGACGATGATGTTAAGCCTGATGTTAAACATCTGAAATAGGTGGCCCCGCATATGGTTTGGTTCCCTGTCTGCAAAATAGGGATGAGAGATAACCTTCCTGTCACACAGGAGAGGAGAAATGCAATGCAAACTTTGAGGTGCTCGCACTGTAGACACAGCAGCCAGGCGGACACCTAAGATGGAGCTTGGCGGGCTCAGGCTGTGGTCCTTGGGTGGCGGAGGTGACTGTAGCAGTTTCCTGAGGTGACACCTCATCTCCGTTGGCGAGGGCCCGCACCTTTCCCTTGACCTGGTCATCCCTGAAGTCCTAGCCTCAGTGCACACAGTCTGAGGTGTATTTACCTACGGGACAACAGCCAAACCGTTGGCAACACCCTGGGATCAAAAAGGCAGACACAGACGGCTTTTGAGTGTCATCTTCTGGAGCGGTTGATCTGAGGTGCATTTGCTGTGGCTGGTGGTGTGAACCCTGATCACCCAGAGGGCTGAGCTGCCTTTCAGAAGTTCTGGGCAGCTGTGGCTCCCAGTAAGACCAGTGGGAGCCTACTGGGAGCTGTGGCCGCTCGGTCCCTTTGGTAGCTGGAACTGCTGTGTACTTTGGCACAGGCATGAGTATAACGTGCTGTGTTGGCTGGATGCAGTGCCAATGCCTGAGGCAACCTACAGAAGCTGAGGACTGTTTTTTATGAGATTAGGCAGAATGCCCCTGGATGAGGGGCAAAAAGTTGTATGTTTAGTCTCAGCCCAGGGCAGCAGAAGGCCGCTGAGCCCCTCTGAAGTGCAGCTGTGTTGGGCACTGGAAGCTTTGCAGGCTGTCTGCAGGATGTGGTACACCACACAGCAATGTCAGGAGGGTCAAATTCCCTCTGGAGATATGAGGGCAATAGTCTGCCACTTACCAGGGAAACATCAGGACCTTGAGCTGCCTGATAGACATGGTACTGTGTAGCGCTCAGCTCTATTTACCTTAAAAAGAGCAGAAGCTGAATTTGTCCTGTTGGGAGTCAAAGAAGTGGTTCTTGGAGGGAGAGCAATGCACACCTTTCACATCAAAAGGGAAGAAACTCTTTTTTGTGAGTTGTTCCCTGATTTCACCTGATGCCCAAACACTAGGGACACTGTATCAGTTGCAGCTGTAGGGAACAGCATTGAGGATCTACCAGAGTAAATCCTTGGGTGCAGCTCACTGCTTTCTTGGAGCACCGTTGCATGACCATCTTCCCTGGAAGAATGTGTGGGGCTGTTTTGGGGCTGGGTAGCAGCATGTCTTGTCTACAACCTCCAAGATCAGACCAGCCCCAGACTAGCAGGCAGCAAGCCTAAGGTTTCAACTCAGCCCTCTCCTCTTCCCACTAGCTGAACTGGTGATGTGACCTTTAAGCTCTTTCCTTGCAGATGTTTTTTGTTGTGACTTTTTGTGTCTGTTCCTTGGTAGATGAGAACTTGGAAGAAAACGTTAGAGCTCGGCAAGCTGGAGGGCATGGGGGCTCTGTTTTCCATCCGCCTCCTCGGGTTCCTCCCTCATCCCCTGATTCCCAAGCTGCTCACTGCAAAGATCTGGCTTCCGCTGTTTACCCAAAAGTGTGACACTGCCGTGCTCCGGTGTTTGTTCAATCCCTTCCAGCTCCTGATCCCGCTGAAATCCCAGGAAGATTTGGACAAAGCGATGGAACAGTTGGAGCTGAGCCCTTCCCTGAAGAGCCTACGAATCCTTGTGAGCGCTCCAAAGAAAGCGAATGTGAGCCCTTCACCTTCTCTGCTCTTTTGTGTCCGGAGTGAGATGCCTTGTTATTGTGTCAGGAGTGGAAACAAGTCTCCTGACAGTGCAGAGCAGAGGGCGAGCTGGTCAGGAGGGGGGTTGGCCCTGCTCTGGCTCAGCTGCTCGGAAATCCTCCTGCGGTGGCAGCCCGGAGACTGAGCTCAGCTCCCTCTCACTCCTCCTGCAACCTGTGAAGGGTTAAATACTGTACCAATCCTCAAACAAGGTTAAACCCCAAGAGAACCCCTTGTGCTGTCACCATTCCTCTGTAGCCTCCTCCACATACGGGGTGATGCCCTTGCCATGCTGGGTGGCAGCGTGGGGACTGGTCCCTGCGTGTGGTGCTGCAGTACTAAAGGCCAGGGAGACCAACCTGGAGAATCCTTCAGTCTCACGCAGGACTGTCTTTTTTTTCTCCGTTATTTATTTATTTGTTTTTCCTGAGCTCAGTGGTTTTGCAGTTAAGACTGTTAGCTTGACCTCGCGTGCACGGTTTCTCTTGCCAAAGCACATGTCGTGCCGCCCCAAGCACAGGCTGTAAAGCAAGGGATTTACAGATGTTGCAACTCTGTTTCTTCCATTTCCTAGAAGTACTAGAGAGACTGGGAGTCTTGAAACTCATAGTGCTTGTCCTCATGCTACCACTGATGCTCCCATCTCCTGGAGCTTTGAGGCTCTCAAAAGGCGCAGGGACCAGAGTCCTAGGGGAAAACTGAGCCATCAGTTGGGGTCTCCTAAATCCTGGGCAGAAATGGGGCGATCTGCCCTAGCAGCCACAGGAACACTGCAGTATTGCAAGTCAACTGCTAATAGCAGGGCAGACAGGTAGATTCATGCATACCTTTGAGAGTAAGTTCAGCTCTTCCTAAAACATGTTCTGAGGTCATATATAAAATTATCACAAAATTAGTGCACTTTAAGGTGTTATCTTAGTAAGACTTGGCCACTATCATTTAAGTTACCAGCTGGATTGTAATTTTGTTGCTTTCCCCCCCGATCTGTCTTCAGTAGCAGTGGCTCGTCCTCTCCTCTGTTCCTCTGCTCTGTTCCAGAGGAGCCTCTGCAGCGCCTGGGCTGCCACTGAGGTCTAGGGAGCATGGGAGAGGCTCTGATTTTTGGGACTGCAAACTTGGGTTCAGGGCAGGGATCAGTCCCTCTATCTATCTGGAAATGATGCAGCGCAGGAACAGTCTTTTATGTCAAATACCTGTATTTATCATTATCAACTGGAGCTCAAACCTATTAGAGTATTTTAATAACAGATGTGAATTGTTTGTGAGTGATTTTTGGATCATGCTAGATTACATACACTTTTTATTTATTTTTTTTTTAATGGTTGTTGAGTAATATAGTCATGGGGAGCCAAATACAGGGTTTCACATGGTGTGTCTGCAAGGGCTCTGGCAGAGTCTGACCATTCCCTTTGTCTGATTACCAGCTCCTCCAGCCAAACAACAGTAAACAGCATGAAATGAGGATCTCCAGATCCATGGGTGATATCATGGGATCCCTGTACAAAGACTCCGAGAGGACGCGGAAGTATTCAACAGGTCGGTGCAACGCGACGCTCTGCGGGGTGTTTTGTGCTATTACGAGCTGGCCACCATCCCCTTTCTCTTTCCTGTCACAACCTTGTAGCTGCTGCGGTCTGGATGGCCACCCAGATGTCTCCCACCAGTAGCTCAGTGCAGTTGCTGCTTATCCTGAGAAAGGGACTCTGCAAGCTGCACAGGTCGGGTGAGGTTGTGCTGAGCAGAGTGTCGTGTTGGGTGTGAAAGCTAAGAAGAGCCGGGGGGTCTGAGGTGTCATTTGAGGGGGAAACGCAGTGATAAAATTCTCCAGTGAATTTGATGCTACTGAGCTTTATCAAAGAGTGAGGATCTATAGAAAGCCAAGGCTTGAGACCTTCGCATCTTTATTCCTTTAACCATCTGCTGTCGTTCTCTTGGCATCTCTGCCCTTTCCCAGTTAGCAGAATAACGGAGCTGAATGGGCTTGGGTTCCTTAGCTCCTGAGCTGGGACCAGCCTTACCACATAAGGACCAAATACGTGTCTCTGTGCCCCCAATCTGTTCTTGTTGGTGAAATGAAGTTTGTGGTAGTTGCTTGCATGGTTTCTCAGGAGAATGGATGTGCGCAAGTGTTTTGCAGTGGTGGTGGTTGTTTCAGATGAAGGAGAGCATCCCTGTCCCTCAGAGATGCTGGGAGCAGATACCTGCAGCCTCTGAACCAGGCTGGCAAATGCCTGGTCTCTTCTTGCAGCCCTGCAGGGACTGGAGTTTGTTCGTAGCCTTGTGTGGTCTTTTCTTTGGTTTTCTGTGCTTGAGTTTATGCTTTTCTTGCTTTCTAAAATACTCTGAGCTTTTTGAAATGACAAATACTCTTGATAAGCTGGCTGTAGGACCTTTTGTGTGAAGAACCTTATAGGATTGTATAGAGAGCAGGGTGCCTTGTACAGAACTGGTAAACCAGCCCGTAGGACAGTCTAGCAGGGGTATAATCATTCATATTATAACCTATAGGCAGGATCAATGATCTTGAAATACAGTGAATGTTCTCTGCTGCATCTGGGGGTAGTCTCTGCAGATCCCTGTTGTTTCATACAATTATTCAATAACTGCAGAAACGACAGCATCAGAGGCCTTGAATAAAGCGGGGCCCTCCTGTACAAATATACATGAAGATATATTTCATCTTCCAAAGATCCTCTGTACTTACATGGCAGTAAACACTTCCAAACTCTTTTCTCTGTGCTATGAGTATTTTTCTCCAAGGCTTTGCCCTTTCTCTGTCTCACAGCCCGTGCTGCCTTGATAACATATCCTGTGGGTTGCTGCATCTCTGATGGCGATATGTAGGGAATGTTCTTCTAGGGTAGGTCCAGTATAGCCCCTTGTGCAGCCATGCCCAGCTCTTACTGAAGCCAGAGGTGGGGGGTACATGTAAAAGCTCTTTCTGGGCCTGATGTTTGGATATGTCAGGGATGTCTTTTTCTATTGGGGGGGGGTGTGTGTGTTTCTGGCTCTTCAGAGTTTGCCCAGAGTCTGGCAGACTCACTAGATGATTCTGAATGAAATGCCCACACGAATACACGGTAAGGCACAGAGCCTCAGCTGAAACTGTGCTTGAGCTAAACATCTCTGCTCTTTTTTGGCACTCGTTAAGCTGTTAATGTAAGCCACAAAGAGCTGTGGCTGGGAGCTGTCACTGATGTGTGAACTGAGCGTGATGGGCAGAATTGATCCCATGTGTAGCTGTGCTAATGAGAAGATTAGTTCTTGCAAAGTTAGACTTTCCTACTAACTTTTATGCCATGCTTTGGTCTTTTCTTACTGTTTTGGAGCTGCTGTAACACCAAGAGAGTCCCTGACCAGGTCTACACTGCTGACTGTGAGGTGCCACTGCCTTGAATAGCATCCTGTAGATAAGACAAAGCAGACAAAGGAAAAGATATCAGCTCTGCAAGGGTGGGAGCCTGAGGTACAGATGGATTTTGAGGGAATGGCTGAATAGGAAAGTGGAGGAATGGGTGTAACGTTCTGGTTTAATCTAAGTAACAGAGGAGGAGTACTGGGCAGCACCAGCCGTAGGATGCAGAGCGTACTAACCTTGGGATCTTCAGGATCATGACGATTGCTAATGTACCAAACCCACCATCCTCAGCGCTGTTACATAGCTAGGTAGCAAAGGTAACCAGCCCGTGCTACAGTCATCCCTCTTTTTTTCCATGCAGACTGTCAGTCTTGCTCTTAGTTTGAAAAGAGGTTGCAACAAACCGTCTACGTGGTAACAACACACCAGACTTCACTTTGGAGTTATCTGGGATCTGTATGAAGCTACTGCAGCCCTACTTAGGAGGTGTTCGCAATCCAGCAGATTCATTTCTTTGACCTTCTGAGACAGAACTGGGTAATTTATCAGCTGGGCAGAAACTCCAGTGAGCTGAAAGGCAGAGCAGCGTTTCAAATGGAGCATAAAACTGAAAGTCAGGCAATAGACAGGGATGATCCCATGTCGTGGTTCCCTGAAGCAGGGATTTCACTGAACTTGGTGGACAGTCAAAAGGCAGCCTAAGAGGCTAGGATTTCTGTAGGAGAAACTATTCTTCGTTTGCAATTGCAAGATATTTTTGGAGTGTTTGCTTCTGCTGTCATCAAAGTGGTTGCTATCAAGAGAGGATCTTAACTTAGTTCAGCTTTTCTCTTGAAACCACATTTAAAAGGAGATTTAAAGTGACTTTATAAAAAAAGGTGGTTCAGGGTCATGTTCTCAGTGTTTCTGAGATGCCTCATGTTTTTCTGCTGACACTGCCATGTTAGCAGCAGCAAAAAAATAATAAAACTGCATGTTGTTGGCACAAGCATGTTGGAAGGGGGGTAAATGTTCTGGGGAAGATTTGGCTATTTTTGCTTCTGCTGGACATAAAATGTCTTTACTCCATGTCCCTGAAAAACCTTATGCGAAGTCAATATTTTCTTTTTTTTTTTCCCCATAAACTTTTTTCAGTGGAAATCCCCCCCTACTTTCTTTTTTTCTTTCTTTTTTTTCTTTTCTTTCTTTTTTTCTTTTGGAAGTGGAAAATGTTCCAGTCTCTTGGTGACCAGCATCTGCAAACGTTCAGCTGAGTGCCAGGAAACGTTGGCTAAAATATATTGGGGTTCTGGATTTTCAGATAACTGAGGGCTGTTTTTATTTACTTTGAGGAAATATATATTTCACAACATTACCCAGAAATTATTCAAGAGCCCCATTCCAATATCACTATTTCAGTGGAAACATTTTACCAAAAGCTTTATTCTTTTTTTTATTTATTCTTTTTTTTCTCCACGGTGGCAAACCAGGCTGCTGAGCCATGGCACCATGTGCCTGCCGGTCCTCTCCAGATGTGGAGCTAACGCTGGATGGCTCCGTGCCGTCAAATACGGACCAGCCATAGGAACAGCAGAACTTTTGCCTTGGAGAATTGCCACTGCAGTGCTGGTACCCAGGTTTTCATGGGTGCCTGGACACGTGTGCTGCAGCACCTAGTCCCTGCTAGCACGCCAGGAGGATATGAATGTAGACCTCTGAGAGAGAACGTACAAAGTGAGGCGTCATTTCTGTCCTTGCATCAAGGCGTTTGAATATGGGCACCAGGCTCTCTGTTCATACCCAGCGGGGAACGGGTGGCCCCAAATGTGGAAAACAACTCGAGGGCACTTGTGGGAGGCAGAGACTTTGTTGGTGCTGGCCAGGTGACTCTGAGAAACACAAGCATGAAGGTGATTATCTGTGCTGTTCAATTCACAGGGCCTGGGCACGACCACTGGCTGGCAGCTGAGAAGGTCGTTTAATCGTTAGCATGTTCCCTGGCCAACCCTGTACCAACAGCTGCTGTCCCAGCAGTGCCCAGGTACAAACTGTAGTAGTGCGGGGTAAGGACATGTAGGAGGAGTTGGTATGGATGAAAGCCCACCCTGTTTTGAGAGGAGGAAAAGAATTAGGCTGTGTGTATCATACCAGCTGCTTTAGGGCTAGAAAATGGGCTCTGTCCCACTTATTAGTATAGAAGTACCCTAAAGTTTGTTTCAAATTGAGATGTAGGAGTCCATCTGTGGAGGATGAGCACAAAGAGGAGGGAGACTTGCAGGGGTCCCACTGAAGAGGAAGAAATTCAGGGAGGTTTGGTCCGTCTCCTCCCACCTCCCCATGGCAGTCCCAGTTCATGGGTGAGAAACGTCCTGCAGGTTTATCTCTGCTTTTGTGCCACTGTGTCCTGAGCCCTGTGTTTCTGCCAGGGCTCGGAGGAACGGTACATCTTGACGTCATGTCCCTCGTTTGGCTCTGCAGTGATGTCATCCCAGGGCTGGGCTCTGTGGCTGCAGCTGTGAGCGTAGGCGACTGCCAATAAACCCTCCCCAGCTCTGACTTTTAAGGGGCTTCTATTCTCCATCAGGACCCCTGCTTGATGCTAATCAGTGATGGATGAAGTTTTGGGAAGGACCTGGCAGGGCAGGGAGAGGGTGAAGCCAGGGAACACGGAGGCGGAGGGAAGCCAAGCCTGGCACAGGGGAGCTGGCTGTACGTGCAGCACCACAAACTCTGCACATATGCATGAAAGACACTTCTTAAATAAAAATAACAAGGGAACATGAAAGACCCCAGCAGATGCCAGCAGTGACTGTGAGTCTCCGTGCTGGTCTGGTTCGCCCTGCTCGGGACATACTGTGCTCTAGTCTCAAATACATGGCTTTACATTAGCGTGTGTAACATGGAGCAGGAATCCCTTCCCAAACCACCTTGCTCCAAAGGGTAACTGAGGTCAGATGCTCAACCAGTGCCAATCTGCAGAGTTTCTCTGAGTTCAGGAACCCTGAATAGAGCTGCTGAGATCTGGCCGGCATTCGGCTTGTAAAGGAGTGCCTCAGAGCCTGCCCCATCCCCACTGGGTCTGAGGACCAGAGCTGATCCGTAATGCTATAGACCCCAGGAGGACAGTCCCTTGGGGGTCTCCTCTCTCTCTGCCTGGTGCTGCTGCTGTTTCTTGAGCATTAAGGTCGAGTGCAAAGAGCATCTGTGATGTGTCAAACAAGCACATCTGGGCTTGTCTGTCCGTTTCTTCCTCTGCCTCTGAATGGGTAATGCTGCATTATTCAATATATCCAATATGCCTTGTGTTGCCCCCCTATGAATTAAGGCTGCCATTGAGTTGCTCTCTCTCCCTGACCCCCATTTTCCATTCCTTCCCCCCAGCAGCACCGAGATTGCCTGAGGTTTTGTTACCGGGGCAGGATGGGGCTGGAGGGGGGGAATCAACCTTGGCCTCCAGAGCTCTGCTCCCACCACGTCCCTGCGTTCCTCCTGGGCGGATGGGCACGTGTGGATGCAAAGCAGCAGCAACCAGTGCTCCTGGAGGTGTGAAGCTGCATAAATTACTTTGAGCTGCTTTTTTACCCAAACAGCCTGGCTGAAAGGGATCTGGTTCAATCCAGCAGTTTCCAGGCGTGCAAAACCCTGAGCGTTTTGTTTAACTTCCTTGCCTGCTGGGAAATGGCTAGTGTCTTATCCCCTTTTACAGTTTTTGGCAGGAAATGTGATTCTGGAAGGTCAAACACAACTGACCTGATGACTGGGAGTAGTTTTTACAGGCAAAGGCTTAATGTGAGATCATGCAAAGTCTTTACGCTTGTGATAAATCTCGTTTAACTCCTTGGGTTCAAAATCAAACAGGGCACATAGCTGTCTGTAAAATCCAAGTCAAAGACTTCCTGAGCAATGGGTGAGTCGTTGCAGCGAGAGATCCCAGCACTGCACAAGCAGACCCACCCCTCATCGTAGCAGTAACAAAAACGTTCAATAGAGCTAAGATACAGCGGTTACATCATGCCAAATTCTCTAGCAGCTTTTTGTAGCACCCGTAGAGCCATCCTAATGCCTTTATACGGCATTCTGGATTGACATCTGCTCAGCAAACGAGGGGATGATAACGCACTAATTTATCCAGGGTTCCTGAACCGTTAAATGGTTAAACGTTTGTTTGTTTATCTTCAAAGACAAGATGCTGTACTTCCCAACTGGTTTTGTTTTTAGGGCTGGTGGAAAGCCAGTTCATTATGAGCGCCGCAGCACTCAAGAGATTCTCTCCCCTTGATCTTGGCGTTACTTCAGTTGGACTTTTTTCGCTGTGTTCTTATCCTGCAGGAAATCTGTGAAGGAGAAAATAGGAAGAAGTAAGAAAGTAACTCAAAGCCATATGACTTTTATTTATATAATCTGAGCAAGGAGTCTGGAGGGAGACGTACCGTGGGACAGAGATCTATGTATTTGGTATAAATCCAGCAAGCCTGATTTAGTGATCTTTAATGCTGGTGTGATGTTGTTAACGTTAGGAGCTCCTGATGCGTATCAGCTTAAGTGAAAGGTGGGAACCTGGATTTGTAGTGTTGATCACGCTGATGGATTTATGCCAGAGATCAATCTGTGATGCAGAATAGCAGTAGACGAGGCAGAAGTGTTGTGTTGATTGATCAGTGTTGACTTTTCACGATGGGATAGGCCCCTTCCTGGTACCTTTCTCTTGCAATTTTGTGCTTAGCCTGGGTATATTGTTACCAAATGGTAGTAGCGAACCAGAGAGTTGGCAAGAGTGCTGCAAAAATGGATACGAAGTGTAAGGAAACGCGTCCCCATGTGCCTTCGAGCCCTTCAAGGTTATGTGCTTTTTAGAAGTCTGCTTAAAAACAAGTTGTTGTGTTGTGTGAAGGCTCACATTGCACAATACCAACTGCTTAAAGCTCCAGCATGGACCTCTGTCAGCAATTTCTTGCCATGAAGTGATGACAGCCCAGGGATGGACTGCAGAAAGACAAGCGGAGCCAAGCCTGTGCATCTGGGCTGAGGGCAATGCTCTCTATAGCCTGAAAAGGCACACGGAATCAGTTAGGGTGGATTTGGGGGAATAATGGGGACGAATGGGCCATCGGTGTGACGAAACTGCGGAGTTCTCTCCCAGGTGCAAAATAGAAACCTCGTTTGCTAAACAGGCCTGGTGAGGTGCCTGCGAAAGCCTTGCTCCCTGTGCCAAGGCGCATGTGATGCACCTCAAAGCCCCAGGGGTTTCCAGGTGGCTCTGCATGGTGTGGAGCCTCTGGGGCTACAGACAGGGGAGACAACCCTCCCTTGGCAGGAGATGGGATGAGCTGATCCCATAGGTCTTTCCACTCCCTGTGATTCTTGGATTTGAAGGCTGGTTTTCGTTCCTCTTTACTTTTGTATAGCGAGGGGGAAGAGGACAGGGGTATTTGAGTGCAAATTGTTTTCCATATAAGTAGTGTTTAAGTGATGTTGCACCAAGTTCTCTCGGGCTGTTTCTCACATTGCTGAACAAGGCAGTGATGTGATCCAGGGAGGACATGCCTGGAGGTCAAAGAGGGGAGGTGGGTTTGGAGTTTGCGTTTTGCTTTGAGATTGCCTGATTGTATTGCAACAAAACTCTGGAGCCCTTTTCTTTTTGGTGTTGACAGAGCACCTGAATACAGTGCACAGCCCTTAGAATACAGGGTAGGTTGAAGGCCAAGTCTGTTAGATGTTGTGTGGCCCCACAGTAAGAAACTGTCCCTGTTGCAAAAGCTTTGTGGGATGCCCATAAACCATGTTGCATCTCTAGCTCCTCCATTCCCTGCCACACAAGATCAAACTCAGCAGCATCTCCAGGAGGTCTGTGATCACTGGAACAGTGTCTCTGGAAGGACTTGGATGTGGCAAGTTCTCTCCTTGACCGGTGTCTTTCCCGTGTCCTAGGCTCTCTGCACACTGGTCGGAGCTCTCCACCCCCGGGGAGTGTTCCCGAAGAGCAGCAACAGATTGCTCGCCAGGGATCCTACACCAGCATCAACAGCGAGGGAGAATTCATCCCCGAGACCATGGATCAGAACGTAAGTGGGGCCAGGGCACGTGGGTTAAACCAGGGCACGTCAGGCACGAGGGAGGCTGCGCTGTGAGCACCGTTGCCACCATTAAATCCCCAGTGGGCCCTGCATGCGGTGCTCAGGTCAGCTTTTTCCAGGAACGGGTGCCCCCCAGGCGTGACGTGCTCAAGAACCAGTGGACCTGATTTCCAGGAACCCTAAGAGTGATGGCAGCGTGCTCGGGCACCTCAGGTAGCTCTGGAGGAGCGTAGATCTGGCACACACGTGCACGCCAGCTGCCAGGCCCTCGTGGCTGCAGCCTTCCCAGCTCCTGGGGACCACGAGGGAGTGTGCCAAGCAACGGATTGCCTGTGATTGCAACAGCCTGGGGATGTCAGCAGCTCTCGCTGCTTCCCATGTGCTGTTTCTGCCTGAGCTCTCGTTACAGTTCTTGGCTCTTCCCTCAGCTTCTCTCTGTGGTTTTGTGTCTCTGTCCCTCCCCCATACAGGTTTTTTTGCTTCCTCTCTTAATAAGGAGTTCGTATAGTCTAATCCCTCAGTAATAAAAGAACAGCTAGTTCTTCAGCACAGTAAGGAGCAGTACCTCTTCCTCCAGTTAATTTGGTACCCGCGATGAGGGAGCTCTGAAATATCGAGGAACCAGAGCGGGAGCAGCTTACACTTCCCTCTCCATTTGCATCTCTGCTCAAGCTATAGCTCCGAAGAGCTCAGTATAGGTCCTGTGAAGTCAGCTGGGCTCTCAGGGCACACGATTCGTTCTTGGAAGGGCAGGACCAGGACCCACAATTTGTAGCAGTGCTGGCTGTGCAGGGGGGACATCTGGAAGGCACTAAGCTCACTCCAGCAGGCTCCGTGGTGGCCCCCGGGGATCTTGCCTGGGGAGACATGCATTTCCTACACTCTAACAGCACCCACTAGCTCCACTTTTGTGTGTAGGCTCTGCCAGTGTTTCCATGGCAAAGTTGTGTTTTCCACAGTTTGTTATAAAGCCATTAATAAAATAAGAAGTCACTCTGGGTGAGTCTTGGCAGCGTCAGAGTGCAGATGTATCTTGTGCTCCTTGCAGCCAAAAGTTGGCTTTCTATTGTTTTCACATGCCTTCCAAACATGTTTGGTAGGATTAAGACAAATTGTGTGTGCGTGCAGGGGGAGGGTCTGCACAAACCCCCTTTTGAGTGTAAATCAGCGCAGCTCCACTGGCTGTTCCTGGAGCTCCCTTAGTGCTAGCTGAGCTCTGAGCCTGCTCCTCATGAAGGCTCCCAGATGCTCTTCTCGCTTTTCCCCAGCATCACGCTGTGGGTGGCCTGCTGCCCTCCTCTGGCAGATTAAATGCAGGAAAAAGGGGATTTGGGGATGTTTGGGGTGGGTTTTTTTTTCCCTCTCCTCATTGAGCAGCCATGCTTTTCCCCATATGGGCTTTGCTCTCAGAATGTCCTCAAGCTGCAGCTTCCATATGTGCCTCGTGGAAAACCACTTGCAAGCTGGTGCTTGCTGCCTTTTTGGGGATGCCCCTGTGCAAGCCTGGAATGTAACTGCGATCTTTGCCTTGAGACCAGCTTGGCAGATGAACAGAGGCTGAGAATGGAGCCTGCTCGGATTCCCAATTTTTATGCTTTTTAGAAATGAGTCTGTATCAGCATTATTTAAACTACTGGGAGAGACCTGGCATGGCTGGTAGAGATGGGGAGTGGGGTCTAGCAGAGGTCTTGCTCCTCTTTGGCTAGTGCGTTTTGAAGGATGAGGGTTTGGGGTAAAAACTGGGAAGCAGAGAAAAATAACTCTTTCCACTTGAGACTGTCCTGCCAAAACAATGCAAGCTGTTACGACAGCTGGTTGAGGAGGTCTAGCGCAGGAACATCACGTGGAAGGGGAGCTGTTCCCGTACATGGGGAAGGGGGGAGCAACGTGGAACGAGGGGTGACTGCACGTGGTGCTTAACCCTCGTAGCTCAGCTTTCCTGGGAACGAGCTGGGTTTGGGGCTGGCTGTGGAGTAGGGGTTAGCGAGTGTCCACAGTGGGTCTGCAGCCAGGAGGAAGCCCCGTACCGACTGCAGCACAGCATGGCCCTGAGCAAACTCTGCTCCACGTAGAAGTGCACATAGCCCCTAGGTTTGTCACTCAATACAAAACCTCTATTGTTGCTAACCAGCTATAAATAACCTCGTCCAGTACAATGTCTCATCCAGGAAGCAACACAAATGCAGCTTTTGACTCACTGAGCTAGTGAGAGCCAAGCCAGTTACTCCAGCCAAAAGCCCTGACGATGCTTTGCTTATCGCCGGAGAGGAAGGCTGGTCTCGTGTGCCAGGGCAGCTTGGGGAAGTCGGGAGTCCAGGGCTGCGATCCTGGCTGTGGTGCACAATATCCACTCGGCCTTGGGCATATCATTTGTGTCCTGATGTTTTTGTTACTATATTTTTTCACAAATACTTCAAGCAGTTTGAATCTCATTGACTTCTCAGCATGGTTTGAACATCAGGGTGCTAATTATCTTTGCCTCAGTTTCCCTACTAGCAAACAGTGGTTGGGAAGAACAGTAATCCAGAGGGAGCATTATAAATGGATTTCCCCTGGGAAGAAAACTTTGTTAGGTGGGATCTCATCTCTGCTGGGTTTGGCATCAGCTGCTGTAAATCAGCCACCTTCGGTGGAGCTTTGTTAACCCTGCAGAGGTCTGCTAGTACTGGAGCTTGAAGAACTACGGTGCGTGGTTTTATTGTTTCCCCTTTTCTTTCACCGTCAGATGCTTGAAGCTTTCATCAGCCCTGACGAGTCGCTGTCTGGGAGCTGCCAGTCGCTGGACAGATCTGTGGACAGGTGAGTTGTGCACGGCGCCGTGTTCACAAGCTGGAACGCAACCTCTGCTCCATAGCAGGTTAGGAGCAGGGTCAGTGGCATCCCCTGAGGTTCCTGTTGGGATGAGGATGCACCTGAGTAAAATAAATTTATCCTGAATGCTAAAAACCAGATCCTAGCACAGACATCTGTATGATGGTATGATTTGAATTGCAGTAACCTGAGCTGGACAAAATAGCCGGGGATCTGCGGACAGCCTGGCATCGTGTGCCCAGGCTTTCTGCTTCCATCAGATCCCTCTCCTAGCCCTCTGGCTTTCTGCAGTCACCGGGTCAATACTCCATTAGCCTCCTCATGCCTCCTCCTCCCTGGGCATGCTGTCTGCTTTCCATTGACCGCTTGTAAATTCGGCAGCCTCTGTGCACTGCCAGCAGCCATAGACGTGTCAGTCAAGGTGCTGAGGACACCAGACAA